GCTACATTCCGTATTTACTTGCCCAAAGCCAATTGGATATTAGGCAAGCACACGAGGCGGTTGTGGAAATGTTTTATCATGCTTTTTAACGGAGTCAACAGTGTCTGCGGTCTATAAGATCGAATCTACCTATCTCTGACAGGCAAAATCTGACTGTATTACACTCGCAATTGGAAACGACTTACTAAACCTGGGGCAAGGCAACCTGTAGCTGCCATGCAACCAAAAGTGTCGTCCCAAATATTCGACCCCTCTTGAGCCAACGATCCGACTGATTGATGGAACCAAAATCAACCATCCTCGGAAAGACCCTAACGAGGGGCCCTTCAGTCGTAACATCATGAGATCTTTAGGGCAAAAAAACTAACGCTGTACTAAAACTGTCCGAAACCCAGTGCAGGACTCGGCTAGAGGGCACACCAAGAGGCCACCTTTTATTTGTTAAATTGACCAGCTAAGCCGCCCCGCTTGTCTCTATTAACAGATAGCAAAAGTATGATGATTGTGATAACAGCAGAGGAAAGGCGTTATTAGAAGGCTTTTCTCCAAATAATGAAATGGGTGGGTTCAGTCCAAACACAGCCGGGATGACACCGGCTAGCGAATGTAATTGTGATTATGGTTCAGGCTATGGAAAACACCCTTTGTATGTTAAGGGAAACGAACAGAGCATTCTGATCACAATTAACCAACATTAACTTACAAATGCGTTTAGATTAAACTAACTGATCGACTAATAAAGACTCCGATCGGGAAAACAGATACCGTACTCAGAGATTATGGCGTTATCCTTGTGGAACATCTCCTGGGAAAGCGACGGAGCATTATCTACTGACTATTTAGATGTCTATTCTCTTCTGTTGAAGTCATGACGGAGAACTTCCTGGGTTTTTTTTGTCTGCGTCACAACATGAAGGCATGAAAAATCAATCCAAACTTCTGAAGGATAAGGCAGTTGGCGGGACAAGTGTCTCTCGTTTTGGTTCTACCAAAATAGCCACAAGCCGAGATCCGTGACTATTCCTTATTGCCCATGGATTTTATTCTTTCGATCTAGGTTTTCTGAACAA